AAAAAAATAAAAATCAGTGTAAGCTTCAATTCCACCATAAAATGATGTGCCTGCAACTACAGATGTTTTACCTGGGCCTTGCGTTCTGTTCATCTGATTTGGTCCTGCTGGTCGCACCATTACCGGGTCAGTTAGGGGACCATCTGTAAAGATAGGGCAGGAGAAGAAGGAAGTTAAACTGCTATGTGTTCACCAAGCATGAGCAGAAGACTTTGAACAAACACTAAAACATTTCATTTCTTCCCTGCCCCCAACAGGTTCACTCACTTGGAGGCAGCCCAGTAGGGGGCTGTCCCATGCCAGCAGGTCCAATGTTCACACCTTGCTTCTGTAGTCGGGTCCTCCTCTTCTCTTCCAATTCCTTCTGGATCTTGTAGATCTTCTCTGCCAGCAAATGATAATACTCAGCCTGTCAAAAGAGAACAAGAGAGTAAGGACATTAGAAAACAAGAATTTGAACACAGAAAGGACACAAAAATAAAGTATTTTGAAAATTATACAAGTATTTTGAAACTCAAGTAATACCAAATCTGTGGCTCTCTTTCATCTTGGGGAAAAAGACAAGTTAAAAAAAGACAAGGGTTCACCTGCTGCTATAAATTTAATAAACAAGTAATGACAGCACAATGACTGACATAGATACTGAAACACAGACACCACTGATTTCTCAAGTGGAAAGAGCAACTTACTCTGCTGTTAGCCGATTCATACATGTCACCCTCAACTTTTCGGGCATAAGCCACCAGGTTCTCCATTCGACGGTCCTTGAGGGCAGCGGGATCTGGAGTCGGAAAGATGGCCTGGACACTGTGGAGGGACAAGTAAAGAGGAGGACAGAAAACAGGATGAAGGAAAAAATGGTGGAAATTGTGTAGTTTTTAACTACAGCGCGGACAGAGGTATGTGTCTGAGATGAACATGACATGGATATCCAGTCTCGATGGCATCATTCAGATCCCAGAAAAAAAGGAAGAAAAAAAAACTTGATGAAACCAAGCAGATAACCCTCCATCTATTTCTGAAACATTCACCATATTTAATATGATAATCCACCAGTATGTTTTCTATTTATGACTACAGAAATACACGACACCTAAATTTTTATATCCAGGCAGATGAATGGAACT